GTCCTTTCACGTGTCCAAGCCACCCAGGGGGCATCTAACATGGTGGTCCGGAGCTGGAACAATTTTTTCCCAACCATCCTGTGGTGTTGGGTCCTCGTTTTGAAGAGACGTCGCCCCGCGTTCCTCCTTCCTTCCTCCTCCTCCCCTTCCTCCCCCCTCCTCCCCTTCCCACACCCATTCCGGCACATCCCTCACACGTTTCGTGGCCCCATAGGGAGCTCCACCGAAGGCCCCAGTGGCTGCGCCCGCATGCGGTTCCACCCCCCATACTGGCACACCCCTCACACGTTTCGTGGCCCCATAGGGAGTTCCACCGAAGGCCCCAGTGGCTGCGCCCGCATGCGGTTCCACCCCCCATTCTGGCACATCCTTCACACGTTTCGTGGCCCCATAAGGAGCTCCACCGAAGGCCCCAGTGGCTGCGCCCGCGTGCGGTTCCACCCCCCATTCTGGCACACCCCTCACACGTTTCGTGGCCCCATAGGGAGCTCCACCGAAGGCCCCAGTGGCTGCGCCCGCATGCGGTTCCACCCCCCATTCTGGCACACCCCTCACACGTTTCGTGGCCCCATAGGGAGCTCCACCGAAGGCCCCAGTGGCTGCGCCCGCATGCGGTTCCACCCCCCATTCTGGCACACCCCTCACACGTTTCGTGGCCCCATAGGGAGCTCCACCGAAGGCCCCAGTGGCTGCGCCCGCATGCGGTTCCACCCCCCATTCTGGCACACCCCTCACACGTTTCGTGGCCCCATAGGGAGCTCCACCGAAGGCCCCAGTGGCTGCGCCCGCATGCGGGCACACCCCTCCATTCTGGCCCCACCCCCTCACACGTTTCGTGGTCCCAGTGCGCCCGCATGCGGTTCCACCCCCCATTCAGGCACACCCCTCACACGTTTCGTGGCCCCATAGGAGCTCCACCGAAGGCCCCAGTGGCTGCGCCCGCATGCGGTTTTCAATACTGGCACACCCCTCACACGTTTCGTGGCCCCATAGGGAGCTCCACCGAAGGCCCCAGTGGCTGCGCCCGCATGCGGTTCCACCCCCCATTCTGGCACACGCTTCGTGGCCCCATAGGGAGCTCCACCGAAGGCCCCAGTGGCTGCGCCCGCATGCGGTTCCACCCCCCATTCTGGCACACCCCTCACACGTTTCGTGGCCCCATAGGGAGCTCCACCGAAGGCCCCAGTGGCTGCGCCCGCATGCGGTTCCACCCCCCATTCTGGCACACCCCTCACACGTTTCGTGGCCCCATAGGGAGCTCCACCGAAGGCCCCAGTGGCTGCGCCCGCATGCGGTTCCACCCCCCATTCTGGCACACCCCTCACACGTTTCGTGGCCCCATAGGGAGCTCCACCGAAGGCCCCAGTGGCTGCGCCCGCATGCGGTTCCACCCCCCATTCTGGCCTTCACACGTTTCGTGGCCCCATAGGGAGCTCCACCACCGAGCTCCAGGCCCCAGTGGCTGCGCCCGCATGCGGTTCCACCCCCCATTCTGGCACACCCCTCACACGTTTCGTGGCTCCATAGGGAGCTCCACCGAGCGCCCCAGTGGCTGCGCTCGCATGCGGTTCCACCCCCCATTCTCGCACACCCCTCACACGTTTCGTGGCCCCATAGGGAGCTCCACCGAACGCCCCAGTGGCTGCGGTCGCATGCAGTTCCACCCCCCCATTTCGGCACACCCCTCACTCGTTTCGTGGCCCGGGGGCGCCACCGAGGAATATATCCACAATTGCGGTATTCACAACTACGTATGGTTGGGTCTTTCGTCAGGCTAATTTTGCATGTCCAGGCCACCCAGTGGGGTATCTGACATGGTTGACCCGAGCTGGAGGCACGTGCTTTTACGTGTACGGGCTTCCCACTTGGTGGGCATTTAACATGTGATCGTCTGATCCTCCCCAGAGTGGGGCCCACAAACGCCAGACAAACTCAAAAAAAGCGACGCCAGAAGCGTAATAACTTGCAACAGTTTTTCCGGCGTTTGATTTTCCAGATTCCCCCCTGGGGTATCTAACATGGTGACCCCGAGCTGGAACCACGTGTTTTCACGTGTCCAGACCACCCAAAGAGGTAGCTAGCATGGTGCCCCGGAGCTGGAAACGCGTGTTCTCACGTATCCAAGCCACCCAGAGGGGTACCCAACATGGTGGCCCTGAGCTGGAACCACGTGTCTTTACGTTTCCGGGCCGCCAACTCGGTCTAACATCGTGGCTCCGAGCTGGAGCCACGTTTTTTTGTTTCCAGGCCATCCAGGGGGTCATCTCATGGTGGTCCCGCGCTGAAGCCGTGTGTTTTTACGCGTCCAGGCCACCAGCGGGGGTCACTAAAATGATGGCTCCGAGCGGCAACCAAGTGTGTTTACGTTTCTAGGAGGCCACCCACAGGGGGTAATTAACATGGTGGCTCCGAGCTGGAACCACGTGCTTTTAGGTGTCCAGGCCGCCCAGGGGGGGTGCTCAGATGGTTGCCTCGTGCCCCTTGCTGGAACCACGTGTTTTCATCTGTCCGGGCCACCCAGAAAAAAAGGTATATAACATGGTGGCTCCGAGATTGAACCACGTGTTTCACGTGTCCAGGCCACCCAGAGAGGTATCTAGCATGGTGCCCCCGAGCTGGAACCAAGTGTTTTCACGTGTCCAGGCCACCCAGAGAGGTATCGAACATGGCTGCCCCGAGCTGGAACCATTTGTTTTTACGTATGCGGGCCACCCAGGGGTGGGTGGGTATGTAACATGTGGTCGTCTGGGCGCCCTCAGCGTGGGGGCCCACACACGCCAGACAAAACCAAAACATCGACACCAGATGTGCAATAACCTGGCGCAATTCCTTGGTCTGGTGATTTTGCAGACTCCCTTTCCATTGGTGTATCTAACATGGTGATCCCGGACTGGAACCACGTGTTGTCACGTGTCCAGGCCACCCAGAGATGTATCTAGCATTGTGTCCCCGAGTTGGAAGCGCGTGTTTTCATGTGTCCAGGCTACCCAGGGTACCCATGGCGGTATCTAACATGGTGGCCCCGAGCTGGAACCATGTGTTTTCACGTTTCCAGGCCACCCAGAGAGGTATCTAGCATGGTGCCCCCGAGCTGGAAGCACGTGTTTTCACGTGTCCTAGCCATTCAGGGGGGTATCTAACATGGCTGCCCCTAGGTGGAAACGCGTGCCTTCACGTTTCCAGGCCACCCAAGGGGGTTCTAACATGGTGGTCCCGAGCTGGAGCATTTTCTGTTACGTGTCCAGCAGTATCTAAGATGGTTGCCCCGGGCTGGATATTCTTTTGTGTTTTTCACGACCACATTTTCGATATCCGTCCCTGGGTGGCCTGACCAGGGGAAAACACGTGGGTTCCTAACGCCCCAGATTGGGACAAGCGTGATAAAACATGGTTTCCTAACGCCTCAGAGTGGGACGGCGTATGCCTTTTCCTCCTCGGCGCATCCCCTGGCTCGTCCTCTGTCGCGTTCCTTGGCCTGTCCCCTGCCCGTTCCATGGCGCGTCCCTGTTCACGTCCCCGGAACCGTCTCTTATCGCATCCCCTAGTGCGCCCCTGGCGCATTTCGTGGCGCGTCTATGCGCCTTGCGCCCCGTGTCGTCTCGTCCCGTTTTGGAACTGAGTCGGATCTTGAGCTCGAGCTGATTGAGCGTCCCACACGTTTTGACTGCAACCAGTTTTGGGCCAGCTAGGCGTTCAGGCAGCTCTCAGGCAGCTCGAGCTTCAGATCCAGATCAGTTCGGCCAGGAGTCGGATGCCAAGGGCGACTTGATCCACAACACTACAGGGCACAATGCACTTCTTTGCGGCATGACACGTCTCGTTTCTGCGCGACACAGCACAGCATAATCCTTGGCACGGTACATCACCATCGATATCTTCAGCATTGCAATTGCGTGCCGCCCCATCAGGTGTCTTGAAAACGTAGCCATGCCTCGCGTTTCTGAATTCCTTTCCGGGTTCGTAGGTCGTTTATGTTTACGTGCCCCAGGGGAATGGTGGGGTTTGGCCCTCATCGGACTGGCGGAATGCGCGAGGCCGCTCCTATCATGAACTAATGCATGCAGCTCACTCTCCTCCATCATCTTCCGCTTCATGACCTACCTTCGAAGACTAACGCGGTGAGGGCTCGCAGGGGGCCCACCGAAGTCCATGGTTTCGCTCATTCTGCCAGCCCATATTGTAGCATCGGTGGCACTCGCCTGCGTGTTCGCGGGGGCACTTTCTGGGCCTCGTGGGGCCTCTGGGGGGGGGGGCTCGGGGGCCTCTGAGGCCCTTTTGGGTGCCTTCTGGCAGTCTCGGAGGCCACTGTTGTGGGAAGGACTCGACATCTCAGTTCGGGTTCCCCCTTTTCAGGGCCTTTGGGGCCGTCTTGGTGGCCTCTTCTCTTGGACCTTCATGGGATCCTCTTGGGCCGTTTTACGGCTTTCTTGGGGGCCGTCTTGGGGCGATGTTTAGGGCTTTTTAACCGTCTTGGAGCGTCGTGAGCCCGAAATCTGTTAGATCGCTTCAATTCCTACAAACACCATATGAAAACACTTACTTTTAGCCTCTCGGGGCTTTCGTGGGAAACCTCTGGAAGCGCTGTTGGGGCGTTCTAGGTGTCCCTTGGACAGTGAAGAAGCCATTTTGGACTTCTTGGAGCGCTTTTGGGCCGTGTCGGACCCTCTTGGGCTCTCCTTCTGGCCCCGTGGAGCGCTCCTGGAGCGCTGTTGGAGATCTCTGACCCGACCTGCTCGGGTACTTTGTGCACTGGGCCCCCCAGGGGCCGCCCCGCGCGCGCGAACTAGTACGACACAAACACTCTGAACATCTTACTGGAAATCTCAGCACGCCTTTGGCCCGTTGGGCCGGCGATTTTTCTTGAGCCGTCTCGTCTTAGGGAGGGCTGAAGCCCAACCTGTTTCAACCGCCTTCCCTGCCCACCTGTCGACCAGCCTCTCCTCAATGTCCTGTGTATTACGTCAGCTCCATCTCTTGTCCTCCGCTCTTTAGGGGTGCTCCTTTGGGCCGTGCCACGCTGTCCTCAGGAGATGTCCTTCGTCCTCTTTGTACGTCCTCTATCTTCAGCCCTGGCCTTAGGCTTTCTTGCAGCAAGTGTCTCCGTGGAAGTCTTCCAAGCCGCGTGATTTCTGATTGGGCAAATGTACAGCGCAGTGCGCGTGCGCGGGTGTGTAAAGCATATGGAACGGCGAGTTGCGAACGCGTCTCGTTCGGGTGTTTGCCTGTGCAGCGAGCAGGCTTGGTGACGGGCGTGAGTGCTGGAACGCATCAAGTGGCCTGCGTTGACGATGCATGCTAATGCCGAGTCATCCTCTCGCATGTTGCTCAAGCCACTTGCCTAGTGGCAAGTGCATTGGCATGTAGGACGCCATGACCGAGAAAGGGTTTCGTATCGCTGCCGAAGTCAACAAGGAAGGATGGGAGAAGAGCAGCTTCCCAATACTCTGCGAGACCTGCCTGGGTGACAACCCCTACGTCCGCATGCAGAAGGAGGACTATGGCGTCGAGTGCAAGATCTGCGTGCGGCCCTTCACGATATTCAGGTGGAAGGTGGATGGGGCGGAGGGAAAGCGCACCCAGGCTGATGCTGGAGCGTGTCTCCCCAGCTCTCCCCCCGCTCTGCTCGGAGATCGGCAGCTGCACTCTGGTGCCAGGATGCCCCAACCGGGCCAACACGAGGCGAGTCCTGGCCCTCGAGGACAGGGTCCTGACCGAACGCGGATCCCGTTCTCCAGCCCGCTCAAGTTTTATTTTCCCTCCCCGTGCGCGCCTCCGCGCCTGGCCGGGCGCGGTGGTGGTGTACACGTCGGGAATCGCCGCCCACTTCCAATGGCATTTGCCTCCTTGTGTCAGCACAGGGTCCCCGGGCCCGTCGACCCCTTCCCGTTGTTGGTTTTTGTCCGTCTCCTGCACCTTTTGTGGCCCTGGACTTCGAACACATCTGCACTGTTCCACTGTGCCTGGTGCGGGCGATCTGCACACTTGGAGGCCTGGAAACAGGCGCCAGCACTAACACAGGAGGTTGCCTCCACAGTGGTAAGATGATCCAAGATTCTGGTGTTGGTGATAACAGTTCGGCCACTCAGAGAGCCCGAATAGTACCACCACCACCGAGATCGGGAGCATCTTCCCTCGGTGAAGGCACACCGCCGACCTTGTGTTGGTGTCTACCTCTATGCCTGGGCCTGCCCTTGTTCTAGAGTGTTGGTGCCTACCTCTAGGCCTGGGTCTCTACCTCTTGGTGTTGGTGTCCACCTCTAGGCCTCCGACACATCCTCCTGGGTTGGGCCCGCATTGGGGCCCGCACGACTGCCGGGGACCCGAGGGCGGGCTGGTGGCAAGGTGCAGCTGCCGCTTTCTCCGGCTGCCACGGGGAACTTGTCCTCCCCTTGTCTTTCGAAAAAGGACGAAGGGGACCTGTTCTTGCTCCAGCTCCCGCACGTCGTCGCCGATCTGCTGGTTTCCTGGACCCGATTTTGCCGGGACCTCCTCGTCGGGGGCCTTCGGCCCCCATGGAAGCTCCCTCCCCGGGATCCAGAGGTCAGGCCCAGGAGGCACCGCCTCCTGAGCCTAGCTACGACGAGGAAGAGGATGCTGCTGCTTTCCTCCTCAACTGAACGCGCTGCGTTCTACCCCTTGGGGGGGAAAACAAAAACCTCACCCAGTAGTGGGCCCGTGCTAATCCTCCCACCCTCTCTCCTTTCCCGCCTCCCGCTCCCGCACGTCGTCGTCGTCGTCGTCGTCGTCGTCGTCGACGTCGTCGTCGTCGTCGTTATCGTCGTCGTCGTCGTCGTTATTGTCGTCGTCGTCGTCGTCGTCGTCGTCGTCGTCGTCCTTGTCGTCGTCGTCGTCGTCTTCTTTGTCGTCGTCGTTGTCGTCGTCGTCCTCTTCGTCGCTGTCGTCGCCGTCGTCGTCGTCGTCGTCTTCGTCGTCGTCGTCGTCGTCGACGTTAGTCATTGTCGTCGTCGTCGACGTTAGTCCTTGCCGTCGTCGTCGCCGTCGTCCTTGTCGTCGTCGTCGTCGTCGTCGTCGTCGTCGTCGTCGTCGTCGTCGTCGTCGTCTTCATCGTCGTCGTCGTCCTCGTCGTCGTCGTCGTCCTCGTCGTCGCTCCATTTCCTTCTCCTTCTCCGCTTCCTTCTCGTTCTCCCCCGGCGGCGGAGCGCGGTCCTTGCGCTCTCTGGCCGTGTGCCAGCCCAACCCCCCTGGCACCAGTCTGGAGCTCCCCCCGCGGGCGCTGGGAGGCAGCGCCGAAGTCCCCGCCCAGGGTTGCAGGGAGGATGTCCGGCGGCGGCGGCGGAGGGACTGGCCGCGGATGTCGGAGATCGTTTCTCCCCCCCCTTTGACGTGCTACAAGCTGGGAGGTTGTCGGGGCTCAAGGGGCGGGTGTCAATCCAAACGGGGGTCTGCCAGAGCTCCGGATCTTGCAGGATTCTGCAGATTCAGGGTTGCACTGTCCGGGCGAGCGTGCAGGATCCTGCAGGATGTGCACTGACCCGGGTCGGTGCGTCCCCGAGGTTGCTTCTGGCAGTCCCAGGGGTGTGCCCTTGCACGCCCGAAGGCGGGCACGCAGGGGCGGTACAAGTCCACGGTGATTTGCCAGAGCTGCGCGAAGATGAAGAACGTGTGCCAGACGTGCTTGTTCGACCTGGAGTTCGGGCTGCCTGTGCAGGTCCGGGACAAGCGCGCGGCTTGGCCGCCCGCCCGGCACCACGCCCTCCCGTGTCAGGGCGCCGTCTTCCCCCCGTTGTGGGGGCCTCCGCCGCTTGAGGTGGGCGTCGCAGAAAGGTCGGTGGCTCCTTCTCCTCCCGCTCATTCTTTTTGATCTTCCTTTCTCCCTCTTTCTACTCCTCCTCCTTCTCCCTCTCTCCTCCTCCTCCTCCTCCTCCTCCTCCTCCTCCTCCTCCTCCTCCTCCTCCTCCTCCTCCTCCTCCTCCTCCTCCTCCTCCTCCTCCTCCTCCTCCTCCTCCTCCTCTCCTCCTCCTCCTCCTCCTCCTCCTCCTCCTCCTCCTCCTCCTCCTCCTCCTCCTCCTCCTCCCTCCCTCCTCCCTCCTCCTCCTCCTCCCTCCTCCCTCCTCCCCTCCTCCCTCCTCCCGCCTCCTCCCTCCTCCCTCCTCCTCCCTCCTCCACCCTCCGGTTCTTCCTCAGTTCTTCTCTTTCCCCCCCTCCGTCAAGCAAGGGCACTTCCAGAATGGACCGGAAAGCATTGCACGGGAATCGGGCAACCTCCTTCTCCATGACCTTTGCCCGTCCTTCTGTTCCTAGTCAGCGAGTCGAGACCGCCAGCTCGACGACCTGCTGACTCGGATTTGACGGCAGGGTTGGGCAGGGCCCTGCCTCTGAGCGAGCCGTCGCTCGATTCGATTCTGTGTGAGCTGCCGCGCGTATCCGCCACAGCGCTGTCAGGTGCGAGGGGGGACAGGGCTTTTTTTCGTCTCTCGTTGTCCTCCTCTGGCATTCCTCTTCCTCGAACGTAGACAGCTCTCTCCTGTCGCACCACCAGACGTGCCTCCCCTGGCCAGAATGGGCTTTTTGTTTGAGACTTCGTCCATTGGTTGTTACCATCCCAGGGATTTAGAGTTCGAGCCCGAGGGCCCATGTCTTCAGCCTGGCGACCCTCTTGGACCAGTGCCCTCGGTCGCGTGCCTGGAGTCTGGCCAGCGCCTTCTATCGGGCACCACACGTGGTGGAGGAGCAGGTCTCAGCCCGCGCCGAAGCCGTGGCTCGCCGCGGCCCAGGTGGTGCACGCACGAGCGAGTCACAGAATCGAGTGAGGCGTTGGCGAATCTGTGTTTAGGTCGAACGCGCGCACGCGTGCGCATTTGCCACGATTCTCCTGTGGTGTTGGGTCTCTGTCTTGAATCCGCAGCGCCCCGCACCTCCCATCCTTCCTCTTCCCCCTCCACTACCCTCCCCTCCCTGCCACTGCCCTCCGCATGTCATCGTCATCGTCTTCGATACCGTCGCCTTCGTCGTCGTCATCAACGTCATCATCATCACCATCATCATCGTCATCGTCGTCGCCATCGTCACCGACGTCACCGCCACCATCACCAGCATCATCACCATCATCATCACAGGCATCATCAGCATTGTCATACTAATCATCATCATAATCTCCATCAGCATCACCATCATCATTATCATCACCATCAATATCTTCATCAGCATCATCATCATCACCCTTATCATCATCATCATCGTCATCATCATCATCATCATCACCATCACCATCACCATCACCATCACCATCATCATCATCATCATCATCATAATCGTCATCGTCATCATCATCCTCATCCTTATCGTCATCATCACCATCGTCATCCTCATCCCCCTCATCCTCGCATCGCCATAATCAGTTCAGTATCATCACCATCACGACTACCAACATCATCAGCATCATCAGCATCATCAGCATCATCAGCATCATCATCACCATCATTACCACGACCACCACCATCGTCATCGTCAACATAATAATCACCATCATCACCATCATCACCATCATCATCATCATCACCGTCGTGATCAACATCAGCATCACCATCGTCATCATCATCATTATCATCATCATCAACATCATCATCATCACACTCACAATCGTCATCACCATCATCATCACCAGCATCACCATTGCCATCAACATCGTCATCAGCTTCGTCGTCCTCACCATTAGCATCGTCATCGTCATCCTCCTCGTCATTGTCATCATCATCATCATCATCATCATCATCGTCAGCATCATCATCACCATCAGCATCATGACCACCATTATTACTAGCATCGTCGCCATCACCATAATCACCAGCATCAGCATCAGCATCATCACCACCACCAGCACCATCACCATCAACATCACCATCACCATCACCATCACCACCATCACCATCACCATCACCATCACCATCACCATCACCATCACCATCACCATCACCATCACCATCACCATCACCATCACCATCATCATACTCGCCACCATCACCATGACCGTCATCACCGGAAAGAGCGTGTTCTACAGCTACTTGCGGAAAACCGGGGTGGTCACTGGGGGTTCCCAACCTGTCCCCCCCCCCTCGAAAACTGGGGGGGTCACTACCCGTTCGAACCCCCCTCTTCCCCCTTCCCCTCCCAGTCCATCATGAAAGGGGGGGGGTTCACTACCGGTTCGAACCCCCCACCCTCTCGCCGCCGGCAAACGATTCTCGCTCCTCGGAACAGGGGGACAGTGGTGGGGACAGTGGAACAGTCGTGGATACGTTGGTGGTGGGGACAGTGGTGTGGGGACAGTGGGCAGGGGACGGTGGTGGTGGGGACAGTGGTGAGGGGACAGCGGGACAGTGGTGAGGACAGTGGTGGGGACAGTGGGAACAGTGGGACAGTGATGGAGACGGTAGTGGTGGGGACAGTGGTGAAGGCGGTGGTGAGGACGGTGTAGGGACAGTGGTACAGTGGGGAGAGTGGTGGGGACAGTGGAGACAGTGGGACAGTGGTGGGGACAGTGGGGACAGTGGGACAGCACAGTGGGACAGCGGCGGGGATAGTGGGACAGTGGGACAGTGGTGGGTGCAGTGGGGACAATGGGACAGTGGCGGGGACAGTGGGGACAATGGGGAGAGTGGGACCGTGGTGGGACAGTGGGGACAGGGAGACAGTGGTGGGGGCACTGGTGGCGACAGCGGGGACAATGGTGGGAACACTGGGGACACTGGGACAGTGGTGGGGACAGTGGGACAGTGGTGGGGACGGTGGTGGTGGGGGCAGTGGTGTGGGGACTGGGACAGTGGTGGGGGCAGTGGGGACAGTGGGGGCAGTGGTGGGGACGGTGGTGGTGGGTACAGTGGGGAGGGCGGTGGTGAGGACGGTGGTGGGAAACGGGTGCAGTGGGGACAGTGGTGGGGACACTGGTGGGAACAATGGGACAGCTCAGTGGGACAGTGGCGGGGACAGTGGGACAGTGGGGACAGTGGGGACAGTGGGACAGTGGTGGGGACCATGGGGAAAGTGGGGAGAGTGGGACCGTGGTGGGAACAGTGGTGGAGACAGTGGGGACAGTGCGGCAGTGGTGGGGGACTGGTGGGGAGAGTGGGGACGGAGGTGGGGAAAGTGGGGACAGTTGTGGTGTGGACGGTGGTGCTGGGGACAGCGGTGGGGGATGTGGTGCGGACCTGTGGTGGGGATTCGGGAGTCGTTTGCTGGCGGTGAGGGGGGGGGGGGGGGGGTTCGAACCGGTAGTGACCCCCGCGGTTTTCTGGAGGGGGGGGGGGGTCGAACTGGCAGTGACCCCCCCCTGTGTTCCGGCGGGGGGGGGGCTCGAACCGGTAGTGACCCCCGCCCGGTTTTCTGCTGTCCCACTGTCTCGAGGAGCGGGAATCGTTTGCCGGCGGCGAGGGGGGGGGCTTCGCACTTGTAGTGACCCCCCCCCCCGGTTTTTTGGAGGGGGGGGATTCGAACCGGTAGTGACCCCCTGGTTTTCCAGGAGGGGGGGGGGAGGGGTTAGGGGGGGGTTTGGCCGGGGGAAGGGGGGGGTTCCAGCAGGGGGTGTGGATTATCGAAGGGGGGGGGGGGGGACCCCTGGGTTCCGGAGGAAGATGGGGGAATTTTCCACAGTAAAGCGGCGGTGGATCACGCTCTCTCCATCATCATCATCATCATCATCATCATCATCATCATCATCATCATCATCATCATCATCATCATCATCATCATCATCATCATCATCATCATCAACAACAACAACAACAATATCATCATCATCATCATCATCATCAACATCATCATTATCATCATCACCATCACCATCAGTATTTCCATCATCATCATCGTCATCATCATCATCATCATCATCATCATCATCATCATCATCATCATCATCATCATCATCATCATCATTATCATCATCATCATCATCATCATCATCATCATCATCATCATCACCATCACCGTCACCGTCACCATGGCCATGACCATGACCATGACCATCACCATCGTCGTTCTGAGATCTTCAGACGTACTTTGGCACACCCCTCATTCGTTTCGTTGCATTGGGAGCTCTACCTAAAGGCTTCTGGGGGGTTCGTCCACATGCGCCCCGCCGCCCATTTCGACACACTCCTCACACGTTTCGTGGCCCCGTGCCCCGCCTGCCTTGCGATATGAAGGTCTGCATATGGGTGGGTCCCCCGCCAGGGTAATATCTAGTACGTGTGCGTGGGCAGCGCAGTGAATGTGTGTGTGTGTGTGTGTGTGTGTGTGCGCGAGTGTGTGTGTGTGTGTGTGCGCCAGTGTAGTCTTTGCTTCGTACATGGTTCGACTTACGGTACTATGTGATAGCACGCCGCTTGATGTAGGGAGACCCGTTACGCCGTTCTAGTAGGTCGTGGAGGGCATATTGTGCAATTGAAGCCATGAGATGCTGTATGCGCTGGTTTTCGTGGATGAGTTCGTGCATGTAAACGCGGATGCATAATCTTGGACGCCAGCGCTGACTTGTCGGAAATACACATGTGGCCGCATGCATGATTCTATGCATCTCACACATGCGGACGGTCGCGTAAACGTGCTGATGTATTTGCGTCAAGCACGTCTGGGCGCGATCGTGTGACCCTGTATGCGCACGAGTGTGATATGAGGCTCGCGAATTCATGGAACGGGATGACGCCGAATGTTTCGTTCGGTCGATCTGGTATGCACAACGCTCTCACTCTAGACTCAGCGTCTCTCTCTCTCTCTCTGTCTCCTCTCTCTCTCTCTCGGACTTGTTGCTCTGGAAGGGTTGCACCACGCTGCTCCCAGTGTCCCCCAAGCATGCTGAGGTACATGGAGGAGCAGGGTCAGAGCAAGATCTCTCTCCCGTCCTCTCGCGTTGGCCGCGACTATCAACTTCAGGAGTTGTCGAAGCAAACGGACGGTGGGGATGTACCTTATGGTAAGGTCGGAGCACATCCTATGCTGCAGCGTCTTGCAAGGATGACTCCGTATTACAAGAGAAACGAAGCCCGAATTTGCACGTTCTACGTGAAAGGGGCTTGCAATCGTGGTCAGGATTGCCCTTTCCGCCATGAGTTGCCACAGGGTGGAGAACTTGCAAACCAGAAGTTACGCGACCGGTTCCACGGGGAGAACGACCCGCTAGCAGCAAAGTATATCCGGAGAGCCGAGGAGGATATGACGCCGTCAGCTCCCGAGGACAAGGCCATCACCACCTTGTACATGGGTGGCTTGGATACGGCTATCAAGGAGAAGGATATCCGCGACAAGCTGTACGTCTACGGCGAGATCCGCAGCGTGAAGATGATACCCAAGCAGTCCTGCGCCTTCATCACCTTCGTCAACAGGGAAGAGGCCGAGGAGGCCATGGCGAAGTGCTACCGGGTCCTGAAGATCAAGGACAAAAAGGTGAACCTGATGTGGGGGCGCCCACAGCCCACGGCGCAGTCCCAGGCCTCCGCCGCCCTGGTCGCGGGGGCCGCAGGCTCGGGCGCCTCGGCCTCTGGTGGCCCCGGAGATTTTGGTGGAGGACGGGCGACGCGCGCAGACCGGGGGCGCGGCGGGGGCGGGGGCGGCGGCCCTGGAGAAGGGCAGGGGGGGGGCCTGCTGGAGGCCCTCCCCTCGGCATCGCTCGGACGTGTGCACGTTTGTCCCGACCATCCTGTGGTGTTGGGTCCTCGTCTTGAAGAGACAGCGCCCCGCGTCCCTTCTCCTCTCCTCCTCCGTCCCCTCCTCCCATTCCTGCCTCTGCCCTCCGGGTGTCAACTATTTCGGCACCCCCTTCACGGGGTTCGTAGCCCCATAATTAGGGAACTCTACCGAAGGGCCCCAGTGGCAGGGTCCGCATGCGCCCGACGCTCATTTTTGCACACCCCTCACGATTCGTGGCCCCATAGGGAGCTCCACCTAGGGCCCCAGTGGCAGGGCCCGCATTTGCCCGACGCACATTTCGGCACACCCCTCACACGTCTCGTGGCCTCATGGGGGGCTCCACCGAAAGCGGTACCCACAATGCGGTACTCACGACAGCGTATCGTTGGATCCTTCGCCAGGATAGCATTTCTTCGGGGAAGACCCACCACGAGCATTTTGGCTCATCTTGTGAACCAAAAAAAAGCAACGCGCGTAAGACCGAAGCGATGCACGGGGAATGGACGCCCGAGCGATGGCAGGGGCAGGGGGCCTGCCGGAGGCCCTCCCGCCTTCTGGGCGAGAGGCTTTCCCAGAGGTCCTCGAGTCCTTCGAGCGGCTCCCGAGCCCTCCAAAGAAGCCCCTGCCTTCTCACGAGGCTGCCCCCCTTGCCCCCCCCCGCCACCCTGTGTGCCCCACCACCAGGAAGCGTGGCTCGCCCGTACTATGCCTCCATGGACCCCTCGGCGCAGGGCAACGCTCCGCTCGAGGGGGAGATGCCAGATGAGCGGACACCGGCGCGATAGCGCGGTGCCAGTCAGGCGATGTGTCCTGTCGCGTGCCACCGCTCGCTGCCGCGCAGGGGACTCTCACACCACCCGGCAGTCCGACCGTCCTCCGCAGCAGGTCCGCGCCCGCTCGGCGCGGCGGCGACGCCGGCTGTCGAGGGAAGAAATACGGGGAACGTAACCAAAGTGTCGCGGGATCTTGCCGATGCCGATCTCGGTCATAGTCCACGTACGCCTTGGCCGACTCGCGAGGCTGATCCACGAACTGACGCTGACCAAGGTTGACGGTGACCAAGATCGACACGACGTTGCCGTGCTCTGTCTTGGTCACGGTCCCCGCTTTGCTCCCCTCCAGGCACGGGTGGTCGACCCGGCTGGTTGCACGGGCTCGTTAAACTCGGGGGCGGCAAAGAGGGGGGTGATGACTAGGGGGGGTTTAGATATCATGGCGGGGGCCATGATATCTCCCCAGATTTCATGGCGCCCCTTCTTATCTCATTACGTCCCTGGCCCATCCCCTGTGCCGCGCGCATGCCGCCGGCCATGATTTGCGCCCCCCTCTTTTGGACGCACCCCTCTTGGCCGCCCCCGATAAACGGGCCAGGATGGACCCCGGGAGGGAATCGGGATCCGATGCCAAGCGGGCCTCTTGAGCACACGGCGGCGACGCCAGCGCGGGCGCGGAAGTTCAAACGGCCGGCTTCGGGCCCTGCCCACCGGAAGCAACCCGCGGCGCGAAGCCCATGCGAGGGAGAGCAGGGCTGAACCTAAACGTTGTTTCTCGTTCTCGTTTTGTTTTCGTTTTCCCTCGTTTTGTCTTCTGTCCGCCTTTACCGCAAAACGACGTCGAACCGAAAACGGCCCACGAAAACGCCAAAACACCGTTTAGGTCCAGCCCTGAGGGAGAGGGCCGGCGGCCTCTGGGGGCCTCTGGGGGGCCCGGGGATCGTGCCGAGCAGAATGGCCTGCGCGGTGGCAGGAAGCGGGGCCCACGGCGGTGGCCGGCCACTGGAGCCGGCCAGGTATTGTCGGGGCTTGCTCTGTCCCCCAGAGGGCGCCCCGACGGGGCCCAGAGCCTCCCCTCGTCTTGGCCTGGCCAGGGCTGCTGCAGGCGGACGGTTGGCGCCGCCCTGCATCAGGGCTGGCAGAGCCAGGGCAGCGAGTCACAGCGCCCGGTGCATTCTGGAGCGCTCTCAGGGCGTTCTGGAGCACTCTCAGGGCGTAGTGGAGCGCTCTCGGAACGATCGCGGCGCTCAAAGCGCACCCTCGTTGCGGCTCTCAGAGACTCGTCTTGTGCCAACCTGATTCTGTCTTTTTCCTGCCTTTGTATTGCCACTTCTGGCTCTTCCTTCTTCTCTTCCTCCCTCCTCCTCCTCCCTTCTCCCTCCTGCCTCCTCCCTCCTCCCTCCTCCTCCCCCCTTCCCCCTCCCCCCTCCCCCTTCCTCCTCCCTCCTCCCTCCTCCCTCCTGCCTCCTCCCTCCTCCCTCCTCCCTCCTCCCTCCTCCCTGCCTCCTCTTCCTCCTCCCTCCTCCCTCCTCCTCCCTCCTTCCTCCTCACTCCTCCCTTCCTCCATTCTCCTCCTCTTCCTCCTCCTCCTCCTTTTTGAGCTGCTCTGGGGGTCTCCTTTATCCCTTGTGGGGCGGGCGTCGCTGTGCTCCGGAGAGCTTGCCATTCCGTTTCGCGCTGGCACGGAGGCCACAAGGGGGGGGAGGGTTTCAGCAGGGCTCCAAGGAGGGCTTCAGGAAAGGTTCCTGAGAGATCCCGGAGAAGGGTGGTGGATGAGGGAGGAAGTGGCGGGAGAGCAGGAGGGACGGGAAGGAGGGATACGAGACGGGAGGGAGGGGAGTGGGAGGGGGAGGATCCTGTAGAGAGAGGGGGGGCAGGAAGGGAGAGATGGAGGGGAAGGGAGGAGGGGATGACGGTGGAGGGAGAGACGAAGCGAGGGGAGCAAAGGGAGGGAGGGTGTGGAGGTGTGATGAGCGGAGTGAGGAGCATGTGTTCAGATATTTCCAGAGGTAATATGTGGTTCTCCGAAGTGATCAGAGGTCTCTGGAAGTCTGCAGGGGTTTCGAACGTTTCTGGAAGTTTGTAGAGCTGGAGGAGGATGAGGAGCAGGATTATGATGATGCTGATGATGCTGATGATGCTGATGATGCTGATGATGGTACTGCTGATGATGGTGATGATGATGTTGATGATGATGCTGCTGCTGATGCTGATGCTGCTGATGATGAGGATGGCGGTGATGATGAGGATGACCATGATGGTGATGTTGATGATGGTGCCGATGATGTTGCTGCTGATTATGTACAGATGAGGATGATTATGATGCTGATGCTGATGCTGCTTCTGCTGATGATGATTATGATGATGATAATGATGATGATGCTGATACTGCTGATGATGATGATGGTGCTGCTGATGATGAGGATGGTGGTGATGATGATGAGCATGATGATGATGATGGTGATGCTGCTGATGATGATGATGCTGATGCTGATGATGTACTGATGAGGATGATGATGACGATGATGATGATGCTGATGCTGATGATGATTCTGATGCTGCTGCTGATGCTGTGGCCGATGATGAGGACGATGAAGATAATGATGCTGCTAATAATGCTGCTGATGATGCTGCTGCTGATGATGATGCTGATGATGACGATGATGATGCTGATTATGATGATGACGATGCTGATGCTGACGATGATGATGCTGATGATGTTGCTGCTTCTGACGACGATGATGATTATGGTACTTCTTATGCTGACTATGATGATGCTGCTGCTGATGATGCTGCTGCTGCTGGTGATGATGATGATGATGATGATGATGATGGTGACGATTGTGGTTCTGACGCTTTTGCTGCTGATGATGATGGTGATGCTGATGATGCTGATGATGATGATGCTGCTGCTGCTGATGATGACGATGCTCATGGCGATGAGGATGGTGGTGGTGTTGGTGATGCTGCTGATGGTGTGATTATGATGATGCTAAGGGTGATAACGATGCTGATGACGATGATGCTGCTGCTGCTGCTGATGATGATGATGATGATGACGATGCTGATGACGATGATGCCGGCTACTTATGCTGCTGATGCTGATGCTGCTGCTGATCATGATGATCACGATGATGATGATGATGATGATGATGATGATGATGATGATGATGATGATGATGATGATGATGATGATGATGATGATGATGATGATGATGCCGATGATGATGTTGATGCTGATGCTGATGCTGATGCTGATCATGATGCTGATGATGATGTTGATGCTGATGCTGATGGTGATGATGATGCTGAATGATGATGGTGATGATGATGATGATGATGATGATGATGATGATGATGATGATGCTGATGATGCTAATGCTGAAGAAGGAGGAGGAGGAGAAGGAAAGGCGAGACCAGGGATGGGTGAGGACGAGGAGCAGGAGGAGGAGGAGGAGATCATTTTCGACACTGGTTTCGGGCCCCTCCTACTCGTCTTCCTCCTCCGGGGAAAAGGAGAGAGGGATATACCACTCCTCTTTCACCTTCTCCGCCTCCTGTCCTGTCTCCTCCTGCTTCTCCTGTTTCTGCTCCCGCTCCGACTTCTTGTGCTCTGGTCGCTTCTCTTGTTCCTGCTCAACGCTGTGGAGGCTGGGCAATGTGCGCCTCGGTCACTCCCTGTGAGGACGGGGGAGCCTCGTCGTCGTCGTCGTCATCCTCCTCCTCATCATCATCAGCATCAGCACCAGCATCAGCATTAGCATCATCATCAGCAGCAACATCACCATCATCACCAGCACCACCAACACCATCATCATCAGCATCATATCATACGCATCAACGTCATCATCACCATCATCGTCATTATGATCGCCGGAATGCCCCTCACACGTTTCGCGGCCCTACATGGAGCCCCACTGAAGATCATAGTGGGAGGGTTCACATGCGCCCTCCCACCCTCCCCAAATCGGCACGCCTGCCACATGTTGTGGCCCCATAGGCAGTTCCACCGAAGACCACCGAAGACGATTTTCACAACTGCGGCACTCACACCTGTATATGGTTGGGTCCTTCGCCAGGCTAATTTTCCCAACCATTCTGTGGTGTTGGGTCCTCGTTATGAAAAGGCAGCGCCCCGCGTTCCTTCCTCCTCCTCCTCATCATCATCATCATCCCCTTCCTCCCTCCCCTATCATCATCATAATCATCATCATCAGCATCAGCATCAGCATCGGCATCATCAGCATCAGCATCAGCATCAGCATCAGCATCAGCATCAGCATCAGCATCAGCATCAGCAGCATCAGCATCAGCATCAGCATCATCATCATCATCATCATCATCATCACCATCATCATCATCATCATCATCATCATCATCATCATCATCATTATATTTATCATCATCATACTCAGCATCATCAACGTCACCATCACCATCATCAACACCATCACCATCACCATCATCAGGATCACAACCATCATCGTCATCGTCATCACTATCTTTACCACTCCATCAGCAACGGCATCGCCCTCCTCATTCTCACCATCAGCCTCCTCATTATAATCATTCCCAGCATAATTTCCATAGTCATCTCGATCATCATCACCATCATCATCACCATCCTCATTATCAGCATCGCCACCGCCCCTATCACCATCAGCGTCATCAGCATCAGCATCATCATCAGCATCATCACCATCGTCGTCGTCGTCGTCATCATCATCGTCATCATCGTCGTCGTCACCGCCGCCGCCGCCACCACCACCAACAACAATCACAACAACGCCACAACTACCACCATCCCCTCCGTCGCTGCCGCCGCCACTGCCGCCGCCGCCGTCGTCGTGGTCGTCGTCGACGTCGTCGACGTCGTCGGCGTCGTCATGAACATCAGCATCAGCATCAGCATCAGCATCACACTCATCATCAGCATCAGCATACGCTTCAGCACCAGCACCGTCAGCATCAGCATCAGCATCACACCATAATCATCGACGTCGCCATCATCACCATCATCTCATCATCATCATCATCATCATCATCACCACCACCACCACCACCACCATCATCATCATCATCATCATCATCATCATCATCATCATCATCATCATCATCATCATCATCATCGCCATTCTGATCGCTGGCGCACCTCTCCCACGTTTCGTGGCCGCGTAGGGAGTTCTACCGAAGGCCATAGCTGCGGTGTCCGCATGCGTCCGCGCCGCTCATATCGGCACACCCCTCACACGTTTCGTGGCCCCACCTGGGAGCCCCACCGAATGTCCCAGTAGCGCATTTCGCATGCGGGCGTCACGCCCGTTTCGGCACACCCCTCACACGTTTCGTGGCCCCATGGTGGCTCCACCGAAGATCACAGTTGCGCAGTTCGCAGGTGGACATCACGCCCGTTTCGTCACACCCCTCGCACGTTACGTGGCCCCGTAGGGAGTTCTACCGAAGGTCCAAGTGGCGCAGTTTGCAAGTGGACACCACGCCCGTTTCGGCACACCCCTCACACGTTTCGTGGCCCATGGTGGTCTCTACCGAAGATCCCAGTAGTTCAGTTCGCATGTGGGTGTCACGCCCGTTTCGGCACACCCCTCACGCGTTTCGTGGCCCCAGAGAAAGTCACAGTGGCGCGGTTAGCATGATGGCGTCACGCCCGTTTCGGCACACCCCTCGCACGTTACGTGGCCCCGTAGGGAGTTCTACCGAAGGTCCAAGTGGCGCAGTTTGCAAGTGGACACCACGCCCGTTTCGGCACACCCCTCACACGTTTCGTGGCCCATGGTGGTCTCTACCGAAGATCCCAGTAGTTCAGTTCGCATGTGGGTGTCACGCCCGTTTCGGCACACCCCTCACGCGTTTCGTGGCCCCAGAGAAAGTCACAGTGGCGCGGTTAGCATGATGGCGTCACGCCCGTTTCGGCACACCCCTCGCACGTTACGTGGCCCCGTAGGGAGTTCTACCGAAGGTCCAAGTGGCGCAGTTTGCAAGTGGACACCACGCCCGTTTCGGCACACCCCTCACACGTTTCGTGGCCCATGGTGGTCTCTACCGAAGATCCCAGTAGTTCAGTTCGCATGTGGGTGTCACGCCCGTTTCGGCACACCCCTCACGCGTTTCGTGGCCCCAGAGAAAGTCACAGTGGCGCGGTTAGCATGATGGCGTCACGCCCGTTTCGGCACACCCCTCACACGTTTCGTGGCCTCGCAGGGAACTCCAACGAAGGTCACAGTTGCGCAGTTCGCATGTGGGCGTCACGCCTTACACGTTTCGTGGCCCCATAGGGAGCTCCACCGAACGTTCCAGATGGAAACTTCGCACGTGGGCGTCACGCTTGTCGGGTCCCACATTTCACACGTTTCGTGGCCTCGTAGGGAGTCCTACCGAAGGTCACAGTGGCGCAGTTCGCATGTGGGCGTCACGCCCGTTTGGTCTCACATTTCACACGTTTCGTGGCCCCAACGGGAGCCCCACCGAATGTTCCAGTGGCGCAGTTCGCATGTGGGCGGCACGCCCGCCTCGGCACACCCCTCGCACGTTTCGTGGCCCCGTAGGGAGCTCCACCGAAGGTCCCAGTGGCGCAGTTCGCATGCGATCGCCACGCTCGTTTCGGCACACCCCTCACGCGTTTCGTGGCCCCGTAGGGAGCTCCGCCGAAGATCCCAGTGTCGCAGTTCGCACGTGGGCATCGCGCCCG